CTAAAGCCAAATCCCCCAAGTCTTTGAAGAGCGGGGACGAGGGAAGGAACGGTAGGAGGTGTTTGCGCCAAGTTTCTGCTAGAGTCTTACATTGAGCCGCCTCCCAATCTTGCGCTCGAAATTCACCCGGAGCTTTGGCCACGACACACATCAAGTCCTGCGAGCTGATAGCATTGAACTCCGCGAGCACCATAGCCGCCTGACCTGCTGCGAATTCCTCAATGTCTGACACAGGACGACGCGAACCACCTCTACGCAATACTGACATGGGTCTCGCCACCGGCAGCGCATCCCATTCTGGGCGCTCCTTGCCTCGCAACTGAGGCAAAAGTTCAGACTCCTGCGAGGAACACTGCGGCCGACGTCGAGCCGAAGCCACTGCCCTTGTACAAACGGGCTCCACGGGCTCCAACTGCGGGCGCGGTCTTCTAGCAGCTGCGTAGGTCTGCATCACACACAGGACAAGCGAACGCCCGAAAAAGGTAGAAACACGAGGCTGTATCTGCCTGTGACAACGGTGCAGCCCGATCCTACGCACAAGTTCCAAGCAGCAAGTTGCACCAACTCGCACACGGGCATGTTCGGTGGGAGAGAGGGATGGTGTTCCAGCCTACCCCAACCAACCGCGAACACCCGCACAGAATGTCAGTGCATCGCGGAACTACACCGTTTTTGCCCAAACACGCCCGTGACCACGACGGAGCCAGGACGCGACGGAGCCATCTCCCAGGATCGCAGCGAAAGCTGAAGTCGTTGCTTGAATCTGCTGCACATTGCTCAGCTGATTTTGCACAGCACTGCTGTCGCCACCCCAGTCATCTTCGCCCCAGGTCACGACGGAGCCATCCCCCAGGATCGCAGCAAAGGCAAGTTGAGTTGCTTGAATCTGCTGCACATCCTTGAGCTGCTTTTGCACAGCACTGCTGTCGCCACCGCAACCAAACCTGCTCCAGGTCACGACGGAGCCGTCTGCCAGGATCGCAGCAAGAGCCTGAAGATTTGCTTGAATCTGCTGCACATTTCTCAGATGATTTTGCACAGCACTGCTGTCGCCACCGTGTAAGGCATAGCCCCAGGTCACGACGGAGCGGTCTGCCAGGATCGCAGCAAAAGCAATCGCAGTTGCTTGAATCTGCTGCACATTTTTCAGCTGAGTTTGCACAGCACTGCTGTCGCCACCGTGTAAGGCATCGCCCCAGCTCACGACGGAGCCATCTCCCAGGATCGCAGCAAAAGCTGAAGTCGTTGCTTGAATCTGCTGCACATTGTTCAGCTGATTTTGCACAGCACTGCTGTCGCCACCGTGTAAGGCATAGCCCCAGGTCACGACGGAGCCTTCTGCCTGGATCGCAGCAAGGCAAGACGATTTGCTTGAATCTGCTGCACATTTTCAGCTGAGTTTGCACAGCACTGCTGTCACCACCGCACGAGGATACGCCCCAGGTCACGACGGAGCCATCCCCCAGGATCGCAGCAAAAGCTGCAGGCGTTGCTTGAATCTGCTGCACATGTTTCAGCTGATTTTGCACAGCACTGCTGTCACCACCATGTAAGGCATCGCCCCAGGTCACGACGGAGCCATCTCCCAGGATCGCAGCAAAAGCTGAAGTCGTTTCTGCCGTTTTTGCACAGCACTGCTGTCGCCACCGTGCAAGGCATCGCCACAGGTCACGACGGACTCTAAAGAAGGCCAGGCTAAACACGGCAGAGCCGTTGATGCTGCACGTTCGAAGCGTCGACCTATGCGGCAGAGACAGATCCTTTGCTGCGATCCTGGGGGATGGCTCCGTCGTGACCTGGAACGAAGACATTTGGGGTGGCGACAGCAGTGCTGTGCAAAATCAGCTGAACAATGTGCAGCAGATTCAAGCAACGACTTCAGCTTTCGCTGCGATCCTGGGAGATGTCCTCCTCCATCAAGAACGCTTCCAGTGGAGGTCAAGAGTCGGCCTTTGCCAACCCCAAAAACTTCGCGTGCCCGCTTCCTCAGTGATTCCACAGATTCGTCCTCGTGTGCCTGAAGCGACACAGTCTTGCCACTGATGAAGCCCACCTCCAGGGTCAGCGACATGATGGAAGCTCAAGATGCCAACATGCCGAATGGGGATATGCACGAAAAGAGTTTCAAACAAGGGAGTCTACAAACCTGATACTACTTTGGATTCCGTAATACACGTATATCATGCCACTATGCCCAAGAAACACTTTCTATTTATTAAGGCCCCTATGTTAGCTTGCTTGCAACCCTTCAAACATACACGCTTTGCACTCAAGGCCAGGCTGCAGGGCTGTGGAGATGCACTCAAACATGCTTGCCGACAAATCTGACTGCAGGCTGCAGTTCCGCAATCACGCACTCCAGGGATCCTGCGCAGAAGGGCGGATGCGCGGGCGATGCAGCGAAGATGACCTGAGCCCGGGTGCTATGCAGTGCAGCACTCGCTCAAGTCGCTCGCCCCAGACTTCATCTTTTGGCGGTAAGACACACAGCGAAGTCGTCATGCACTATCCACGATGCACTAGAAAGACTGTGTGTGGTCAAGCAAAGCCCGTTGTAGACTTGTAGGCTTGAGGCCTTAGCGAGATCCACCCCCCAACATAGTTTTAAGAGTCACTATTGGGGGGTTATAGTATAGCAAGCCACCCGACGAGCTACTTACACGAAGTACAAGAAGCCTAAACAAACAACCTGCACGACCCTCTTGCATGCACTTGCGGAGCACAACAGGCCTGCAGCAGCCATGGCTCACAGCGGGGGGTGCAACGGGAAGGCTTCCAAATACAGGGCTATCCTTGATTGAGGGTAGCTCTGGGGTTGCGAATATTTTCGCGGTCTATGAGGGCTACGATAAGGGGTATGGTCCGGTATTTACTATTTATGCGAAGAGCCTCAATTAAAAGGAATCGGGCTCCGTGAAGCTCGAATCCTGAGCTGTGATGTACGGCATCTCGCCGGAAACGTAGACTTCCAACGCTGCCTTTTTTCCCAAGGTACGGGGCAAAAGAGAATCCCCTAAATAGGCCATATTGCCATGAATGCTCGAAGCCTTCTAGAAATCGTGGAATGAGGATGTCATTCATGGTTTCCTTTCAACCTCGAGCCGGCGGCACAAAGCCCGGGAGCATGCGGCCGCCAGCAATACCGAACCAAATACAAGCATTGGCCAGAGCCATCCGATCTCAGCTTCTGAAGACCAAAGGCCAGACTTGGAGGCATTGCCGGGATCTGCCGCTTGCGCAACGGGGACTCGTGAGCCTTCTCCAGTCACTTGGCATGGTGGGGCTGCATCGGCGAAGACCATCTGTAGACATGCTCAAAACGTGTCCTTGTAAAACCGGAATATTCAAAGCCAAAGATCTGCTCTGCGAACTGTGCCATTCATGAACATGGAGTGAAACATGATAGGCCCGGTGCCATCCGTGCTATTTCACCCAAACTGCAAGCACTTCGGACTCCCCTGCCGCGCGGTAAGACGGGAACCCTCACGCTTAGGAGCAGAGCAAGTTTGCCTAGCAAGGGAATATCTCCCCCCGGAATTGGGACCGGGCCAGCTTGTGTATAACGCCTGCAAATTGGCGTGCCTGTGTTACCACCGAGTGCGAGAAATGACTGGGACTGTGTGAGCCTCAATACAGATTTGACAGCTTTCCCATGTGCAACCTGATCCAAGAGAATGGAAAGTGATGGAAAGGGGCTGGAGGACCAGGATCTGTTGGGATCTCTGACGGTTGTGCCCTCCACAGGCTGTCTCGTGGTGATTTGACGGCTACAATTCGCGGCCGCTTGAGCTGGTAGCGCTTTAGTGGTAGTGGTGGTAGTGGTGGTGGAAGTGGTACCGGTAGTGGTAGCGGTAATGGTAATGGTGGTAGTGGTAATGGTGGTAGTAGTGGTGGTAGTAGCCGTTGCTGTCGCTGTCGTAGTAGCAGCATCAGCAGGAGTAGGAGTAGGAGCAGTAGCAGCAGCAGCAGCAGCAGCAGGAGTAGGAGTAGGAGTAGTAGCAGCTGCAGGAGGAGTGGGAATAGGAGTAGGAGTAGGAGGAGTACGAGTACGAGTAGGAGTAGGAGTAGGAGTAGGAGTAGGAGTAGTAGTACGAGTCGTCGTCGCCGACGTCGTCGTGGTGGTAGTAGTAGTAGTAGCAGCAGCAGCGCAGCAGCGCAGCAGTAGCAGCAGCAGAAGGTTTGAGAGAAGCAACCATTGTTGTTGATGTGATTGTCATGATGCTTATTCGCCGCCGTGTTGTAACTGTGCCCTACATGCCGGACACCCTTCCCTCCGTTGGTCCGCAGGTTCGACGGACGCGGCATCGATCTGCTCTTCGGCCATCCCCGCCCTATCCGAGTCTCTTTGGAAGCTGCAGAATTTCGGGCGCAGAACTGTTTGAGGGCCTGTCATGGAGCTATAGGCTACAAGTACTTCGACCAAGGGGTGGAATCATATAGAAAAATCAAGGGCTCCCAAAGGCATGTGCATCAAAAGGTATCTCCAACCTCGGGTGTCTGCAACCTCAATGCGCATCTTGCTCTTGTTCAAACTAGTGCCCCGAAGTACGAATCCTTCTCGTTCCCCTGATTCTCTCGAGTTCTTCTAAAGCTCAAGGCATGTCGAGGGGGTTGTCCCAATGGGGGTTAGTCCCTTCAGTCTGCCGTTTCATCTTTCACACTCTGTTCCTGAAGCTTGGAAAAAACCCAGGCCACCTTGCGCTCCAGGGCCTCTGCTCGGCCGAACTACTGAGGATCTGGAGCCAAGCCAGCAAAACGCAGCTTTGTCTGTTGCAGGCTTTGGGTCTTGAGGCTTCCGGGCGTAGTGTTTAGATATCCAGGGGCTTAACGGCGCGGGCTCAGGGTTTAGATATCCAGTGTTTAGCGGTGTGGTGCAAGGTTGAGTTTCCCCGTCCATCCATACCTGCAAGCTCTAGGTTTCAGATTCCTCCCGTCTTGCCAATTGTTCTGAATGCGCCTCCCTTCCCAGAGACCTTAAGCACAAATCCTGGGGGTGTGGCTCTTCGCACCGTCCACCTTCACGGCCTTTCACTGCAGTGTACGTAAAAGCTTCTCCCGTGTTCTTGTGCAACACCCATTTCAAGCCCCGCGGGCTCTACACTTCAATCTCTCCGACACACAAGCCCTTGGAGTGCTGAACCTCATCCCGATCCGCTCTCGAAGGACGCCGCAAACTCTGGCTGTCGTAGTCATCCCCAACTTTCATCAAGGCATGTCCAACATCCCCAAGCACGACAACCTCGGCGCATCTCGACACCAGACCCGTTCCGGCCCGTCCCTTTTGGTTTTCAATCGCCTCCCCTCGGGCAATGCCGGAGAGGTCACACGCCGATAAGTCGGCCAGTGGCCTGGCCGCACTTCGATGGCTTCGGTTCCCGGGCTTTTTCGAAAAATCCTAGTGCTGGCCTGGGCCTGGGCCTGGGCCTGGGCGGGTCTTACGTGACGAAGCCGCCTCAGCACCTTCCGCGCAGCCAGGAGCGCCCTGCGGCGCACCTCGCAGAGTGCGAGGATTCTGGTTTGGGAGCTGCTAGAGCTCCATGCTCGTCACAAGAGCCTGGCAGAGGTAGGCAAAGTGGACAATTCAAAGACCCTCATAAGCTTCCCACGCAAGGGCTCAGCTGTGACAGCGAATGCCGCGCCTTCCACCAGGGAGGGCAGCCACGAAAGACCCTTCAAAACAACAGGCCCCCAAGCAAGAGGTACTGCAAAGTTTGCCGAAGACGAAGTGTCGAAGCTCCCACTACAGTCTGATCAGCTTTGGAAGGATTGAGGCATACTTCGCGGCCTCTTCCTCAGAGCCGCAGGGAGGCCTCGGTCATTGCAGCGTCGAACTTGGACGTCGCTTCACGGAGAGTTTCGGTTATGACCCTGGCCAGAAGCAGAGCTCCAGGTCCGTCATCACCAGCACCTGTCAGACCGGCGCGGCGCACGTGGGGCCCTGAGTCTGTGCGAGCTTTTGTCCAGGCGTCCACCAAATTCCACAGCTTGGACCCTAGCAAAAGAGACAGGGAACCGGTGGCAGGGAGCCCTCCTCGTCGGCACATGGCACAGCCGCGAGCCGTCGAGGCCGAGGACATCTCCGAGGCGACAGGCCGCCGGCTCCTTGCGTCGGATCCCTGGGCCCCTGGGCTCCACGTTGAGAGCGCACGTTAGCGCCAAGACTTCCATCGACAGCAGAGACAGGAAGGGAGGCGGCATGGAGGACGGCTGCTTCAGGGAGGCCAGGGTCGTTGGCTCGGCCATTGGGTCTTCACCCCACCAGGGAACGGGTGGTACGAGCTGCGCTCCTCTCCGTCCAGCTCCTGGCGCCGGACAGGATCCGAGAGCACCTCGAAGGCCTCCTGCAAAGCCTTAAACTTCTGGGAGGCCTCCTCAGTTCGGTCCACGTTCTTGTCCGGGTGCCACTTGAGTGCCAGCCGGCGGTAGGCCTTCTTGATGTCGGCCGGTGTGGCGTTGAAGCTGACGCCCAGAACGGCGTAGTAGTTCTTCTGCGGGGGCCTCGCTGCCCAACGCAATGCACGGCTCCGCCAGGCTGCGAGCCCTTCGAAGGTCGGGGATGTGCGGCTGACGAACTCGAAGTCCTGCGCGGCCTCCGCATAGCGCTCCAGCTCCATGTAAAGGATGCCGCGCCGGAACCGGGCCTTCACATAGCCGGGAGCCAGCCGCACGGCCAATGTCACGTCCTCCAGTGCCAAGCCGGTCCTCCCCAAGCGCATCAGAACAGCACTCCGATTGCAATGCAACTGCGCGGAGAGCTCGATATCCATGCGAAGCAAGTCTGCCTTGATGGCTTTGTCATAGCATTCCAATGCCAACGACCAGTCCTGGCTCTTGTAGGCCTCATTCCCTCTCTCTTTCTGCTGGTCCAGGGATCGCATACTGTCCAGCAGGTCCTCTGTGAGATCGTGTCTGCCCCCCTTCTTCTCGGCAAAGGTTTGTGCCTTTCGCAGGCTTTCACGGGCCTCCTGGCGCCGGCCAAGGCGCACAAGGCAGCGCGCACGCCAGTGATGAGAGTCTGGCCACTGCGGGTCCTCGCAGATCAACCCGTCCACAACCGAAAGCGCCTTGTCAATCCAGTCTCGTCGCTTCTCGGCACTCAACTCGTTCCCGCCAGCGCCGGGCACTGGGTACAAGTATGCCCGCAGCTTGGCAAAGCGCAGACGCACTCCAAGCGGCGAACGGACCTCGGTCTCCGTGAGCAAGTTCAGCATCGAGTCACAACCATGCAGGATGGCAGCCGCATCAGAAACCTGGGAGGCATCAGCTTTTCCGCCAGCCTCGTAGTTGTGGATCTTCACCAAAATGCCCTCCATCTCGTGAAGCACCCCGGCATGGTGGTTCAGCCGAGTGGACATGGCCAGAAAGGGCTTCCACTCCTCGCTTGCCTTCTGCACCTCTGACAAAGTTCGAAGGCGTTGCTTGCAAATGTGGACTCCTTCTGGAAGCCTGTTCGTTAGCAGCAGGGACCGCCCAAAGCGCTCCAAGATCTTCGGATTCCCCGGCTCCCTCTTGGCCGCTTCCATGACGTCCTGGAGAGCCCCCTCCCACTTCCCAAGCCGCAAGCGTGCGGCAGCGCGATTGGAGAAAAGCCGAGGGGTCAGGGGCCGGCCTTGCTGCATCTCCAGAGCCATGGAGTAGTGCTTTTCAGCGCCCAAAAAATCTCCGGCCTTGAAGTAGCCGTTGCCAGTCTCCCGGATCGCATCAACAGAGACTTCGGTGAGCGGGTACACGCCAGCCTTGGACTCTTCCCCAGCCACCTGCGTCGCATGAATCACCTTCACCTCGCTCGGGCCATCGGCAGGAACTTCAGAGGCTAGAGTGTGCCTCGACTCGAAGTCGAAGAGCCGATCCTCCTCCACCCCTTCTGCCTCCTCGTCCTCCTCGTCCTCAGCGTCCCCGTCCTGGTTCTCCTCCGGCTGCACGCCAAAGGCCGTGGACGCTGGCTCCTTGGACTGGACCTTCTCTTCCAAACGCTCCAACTCGTCGAAGTCGAAGCTGGAAGCCATGGCCACTCTCAGGTTTCAGTTCTCGCACGCCTTGAGGCGAGGAAAGTCAGGCAATGCGAGCGCCATGCCGAAGAGCCCTGGACTCCACGGACGCACTCTAAATCCAAGCACTATTGCACGGGGCTTTGCTGAAGCTCGGTATGCATGCTGCGACACATATTCATGCAATGTCATGCAATGCAAATGCGAGGCCCTGGGTGCCACAAAATGTGTGATATATGTCCTCAGTTTGAACATGACCTCAGCTGCAGAGACTCGGCTTGTCGGTGCAGCTCTAAAGCCCTTGTTCCATCCGTGAATGGCCTGCATGACATCTACCAGCAGGTCCCGCGATGTGCCTCGGCTCTCAGAGACATCACCGTCCATACCATGATCTATTCGACATCCCAAAAATCTTGAGAGTCACTCCATTCAGGGCCGCTGCTGTTCATTACTCCATGATAATGATCCGACCCTGCCTTGCTAATGATATCAAATACAAGCATCATGTGACACTGCCTTTGTTTCACCGACTGCCATCTCAGCACCGGACGGCTTAGTTCACGAGCTGGTGCTCCCTGCACTGTGAAGGAGTACGAAACGATCGAAGTGCGAGGCTGCGGGGCTTGACTCTGCCAGACACAAGCCCACAAACAGGGGGACCTCCATCCGGAGACGTAGCTCAATTGCCTGGGCCGAAAGACGCGCAGACACGCCAAGGGCTGGATGCGACCCCTGGCACTTGGCTGTGGCCCCCAGTCCAGACAAAAGAAACAAGCGAAGCACGTTTTTCTTTCCCTGCAGACATCTTCCGAAACTGTCATGGTCTTCAGTTTCTCCAACGACGCGCAACCACACGGCTTTATCTCTAGCCTGCCACAACCATGCGAAAACAAAGATGGTTAACGTACTACGAAAGACAGCTATGTACGTAGGCAAGCTATGACACCTCTGCAGATCTGCGACTTCAAGCAAACTGCAGGGCTCCATCAGCCCGATTGCACTCAGGCTAGTCCGCTTTCTCCCTTCACAGCCGTCTTACACTTCTTGCTTACCTGACTCTGATGAACAGGGGCTTTAAAACAAAGCTCACAAGACGGGGTTGGCATCAAAACCCGATGGCTCAACTGGTTATGCCCTAGACAACGTCTCGCAACGTGTCTCTACAGCCGCAGCTGTTCTGCGTTAACCCTGGTCATACTCAGGCGCGCTGCTCAGCCTGCAGGTGGACCATCTTCCGAGAGGTTTGCTTCTCGCGGAAGACAGGAATGATGACGAGGCGGGTGTTGACTTTTGCTTGCTTCTAACGATCGATGACGACGACAACAAGGAATCCACGACGACGATGAGGAAGATCAAGACCGTAACAGTCTCAATCTTCATCAAAATCGACCATCAATCACTGACTCACTCACTCGCTCACTCAGCCAATCAATCACCAAACAAACAACCCATCAATCAACCAACCAATCAATCAGTCAATCATTCAATCAAACAGCCAATCAATCGTCAATGTGGTCGTCATCGCCATAGTATCAGCGTAATTACACATATCATCATCAATATCATCATCATCATCATCATCATTCATCATCATTCATCATCATCATCATCATCACCATGGTCACCAAACCATTATCATCAAACCATGATCACCATCATCACCACCGCCTAGACTACCCGGCATCAACAACAGTTTGCTGATTTTTGCTAAGCACACAGAGTTCATTGTGGGTATTGGTTCTTTTGTACAGGAGGGCTAGCCACTCTATGGCAGCTCCTCAAGAGCTGATCCCTCGGCATCCAACCCGATCCCTCGGCGACGCAAGGGTCCAAACAGCCACCGCCTTTCCGGCGCTTGGCTTTGGCGGTCGGCTTGGCGGCTGTTTTGGCCGCCTCGGGCACGGCACAGTGCGGCTCTGAGGACTCGTTCGGCGACGCGGCCTCGAGCTCCTCGTCCGGCTCACTGAGCTTCGTCAGATCCTCACTTTCTCTTTGACCCCTCAAGCCACAAGCTGCGCTGCTCTCCGTGCCTTGGTGACCGTCCAGCGCGCCCAGTTCTGTGAGAACTTCTCTATGCGCTTGAGGAAAGCTATGAGCTCCGTGCGGAACTTGAGGCCTTGGAGCAAGCCGGTTTCATCCGGGACTGCGAGGAGGTTGTCACTGGTGTCCCTGTTCGCTTGTGCACGGCTTTGCACTGCCTCGTTCCCGAAAGATCTACCGTAACTGTCTGACAGTTGACAGGGCATGTCCCCAATAGCTGAAACGAGATGCCTTTGTGCAGGAATCGAGTACACACACACAAAGCTTCTGATCTGGGGTGCCCACATATCCTGTCGTTGGTCACTTTGAGGATTGCCTTCGTGGGTGCTTGGAAGTGTGATATCACACGGCTCCCAAAAACCAAACCCAAAAATTTGAACCAGTAAACCGCTGAGCACCCTGTACCAAAACCCCAACCCCCCAAACTCTAAACCCGACACCCTGAAGCGCGAGACCCCGGCCTTTCCCTCTTTGTGACGGTACTTAACCAGATATCGGGTCCTGCCAAGACGAGTCCCGAGCTCTACCCTGAGGGACGACGAGGGTCTGTGCGGCTCCGTTGGGCTTGAAGCGGCTCCGGCTGGGTTGAAAACGGGTGGGAGGGTTCAGGGTTTATGGTTTCCAACTTCGATGTACTCCGTGGATTGAGGGATCTTCGGGATGAGGTGCTTGGGGTTTCGGACGTTCTTTCTAAGACCTTCCTCCCGACCATAGTGGCCCAGGCGGTCCTGAGCGGATGCTGCGAGAACAGCTCCTGCGCCGCGGCTTCAAACTCTTCGAAGTCATTGATGTAGACCATTGCCTGGAGTCAATTCGAGACCATGTCTTCCTAAGGAACAGAAGCAGAACAAAGGTTGAGTCAGGGACAACGCATGGGGAGGCCCGTCAGCAGCATCACAGAATCCTATTCTTTGGGCCAGAAGCCTGCAGCTTCGAAAACTCGCAAGATTCCCCTGCCTATGCCTATGCACTATATGTGGTGTGCCCAAACCCTGAAAGTCTGCAAGCGTCACACAATTGCTTATCGCTCCCCTCCCCCAGTGTCTTGGAGCGCACCACCGGCGATTCCACATCCTCGCAAGGCGAGAAGCCCAAGTCCTTGACTTTGTGTCTGGTTTGAGGTCTCAGTCGGCTTCGGATGGCAAAGCCTTTACTGCCGGGTTTACATCACCGGGCTGCAAGGCCCGGAGATTCGAGCTCATTGCTTGATGCATCGGGCTCCGGCGCATAAGCATCCACTGGCCGCCATTTCTTCAAACTACATCCGAAGCATCGTCCCTGAACAACCTCAAAGAGAGAAACCAAAGCCAATGGCCTGTAGTACATGGATCTTCTCCTGAAAGGGGACGCAACCACTTGGATAACAGCAAGTACTGTACCAGCAAGCTTGCATCCGTCAAGTACTCATACCGCACATCTAAAGTAATGCTATACACGATTCAGCCACATCTTTGTAGAAACAATAGCAACGTCCAAAATGAATGCACACTAGAGCAACATCTGTGTACAAACAATAGCAACGTCCAACATGAATGTACAGTAGATGCAGACAGGAGGGAGGCATCTCAGCTCGTCTGAAACAGAGGGAGGAGGACTAGATGCATGAATGATCGAAACACATGTTGCACATCTGCGGGAAGTCGATCGCAGCTTCTTATGTGCGTCATAGGGCGACACAGGGCGTGAACACGCCCAACAAGCAATGCGCCTTCTGCAGTGCCACCGCATGCTTTCGCAGCACGAAGGCTAACAACGTGCAGACACTCTCCGGACCTCCTTCCGCGGGTCTGTCAAGCTCGGCCATTGTACAGCCAGCACACAATCCACCGCAGCCATGGTGTGACGACTACGAATGGAACACCTTTGAGGCAAAGGCAGTTTTTCATGTAGTCTGAAGTGCAGGGCTTCTAGAAAGTCGGGGCCGACATCAGTTCTGCTGACACTACACTGGACTCTACACCGTTCAATCAAGCTCCGCCTTGAGAAGCTGCGATATCAGGACCACAGGGTGTCCATGAATGCCTGAATCTCCCGCCTGCAACGCTTGCCGTCTTTTGCCTGTGATCACTTTCTCAACATACCAAGCAACACTGCAATTAAATGCCCGAACATGCGTGGCAGGGCAGGTTGGTCGCGCGGATCTCAGCTTGTTCTCCTTGCTGCTCATGAGGTTGCATCGAAGCATCTCGGCAGGGTTAACTCTCAAATTCGGCAAGCGTGCTGTGGGAGGGGATTCCTAGTCCAATTATTTCACCCTGATGCGAGTCATGTTACAATGGTGGCAATGATGACTGATCCCTGTAAAGAGAATAGTGAGGCTACAAGTCATCATCAACAAGAAGGAAGCACGTGCGTCTGCCGCCGCGCAGGGTGTGCCGTTCATTTTTTGGAGGTTTCTTTGGTCAAAAGCATGAAAACCTCGAGATTTGGGTGGTTTTCGTCAACAAGATGATGTTTCGGAGCAGTTTTTCCCACAGTAGTTTGGTCTTGTTTGTTGGTGAGGCTTTTGTGATAGTGTCGCAAATACAGTGCTGTTCGTCTTGTTGATTGTTGACTTTGGGGGTCATTTGCGAAGGTTTTGTCTAGAATGCCTAGGCCTAGGAAACACTAGTGTGTTTTGTACTGGTGGCGTCTTAAAAGTAACGAAACAACAAGGGCAACAGGGAGCAACATTGTCATTGTCATTGCTAGCACGTAGGTCCGTAGGTATCGTCATCGGCATTGTTATCTTCCGCATAAGCAATCCACATCATGCAAAACAACATCAACATCATCAACATCCCTCCATCCCCCCTCCCCACCAATGCACGAGAAGCCGCATTCGCATGGACGACATCACTCCCCCCGACCCCGCCTCCCCTCCCCACCAATGTACCGCACCAGAACATACCAAACAAGGCCAGGAAGAAAAATACAAGACACAACCGCATTCGCATGGACGTCATCAGACCCCCCCGCTTCACCCCACCCTGCACGGAGCTGAAGTACAAATGGAACTTCAAGCTGGCATGTGCAAAAGTCAAAAGTCAGCAATAACGCAGAAAAAAAACCATGCGAAAAGCCAAACACGAAGGAGACACCGAAAAAAAGGACAGCTCAGAGACTTTTTGCACAGTGCAGCCTGCCAGGTGGCACAGGTTTTGTTGGAAAACACCGCAAAAAACCGGTGCGAAAGCCAAACGCCAATTCAATTCCGGGTGAGGAACGTGCCAAAACTCGAGTTTCAGCACATGCCAGCCCCGAAATCGCTCCACACCGCGCGGCGGCAGACGCACGTGCTGCCAACAACAAAAGCAACAACAACATCAGCATCATACGGATCATCCTCAGCAGCAGCAACAGTGGTGGTGATCGCGGTGATGGTGGTCGTCCTTGTAGCGCTAGAAGGAAGGAGTTCTGGTAAAGGCAACATGGAGAGTCATCATTCCTGTGGCCCACAACAGGTTTGGGTGCCATGGCCCGCCTTGCCAAAGGAGCCGCCTTGGAGTTCCTTGCGCACGAGTGATGGCTTCTGAGTTTATGACCCTACGACCAGGTTTTGAAGCTGGTGACGACACATGCTGTCACTTTTCAAGTCATGCAGAGCAGGGGCTTAAGTAACTTCATTCGTACCACTTTTGAGACAG